GTCGTTAAGCGTCTGCCTTCGGCTCAGGTCATGATCCCAGGCTCCTGGGATCGAGCCCCGCGTCGGGCTCCCTGCTCGGCAGGAAGCCTGCTTCTCCCTCTCCCACTCCCCCTGCTTGTGTTCCCTCTCTCACTGCCTCTCTCTCTCTGTCAAATAAATAAAAATCTTAAAACAAAAAGGAATTAGGACTTATTTTTTAGGCTGATTTATGACGTGAGGACGGCGGTCTGCTGACAGATTGAGTTGTGTCCGTTTGTGGCCAGCCAGTGATATGTTCTAAATGTACTCTAGCTTCACCTGTGTTGATGACATCGCTTTCTCTGCTCCCAAGTCTCTCGGGCTCTGCTTCACCAACAGCGCTGAGGTCTTTTGCAGACACTTCTTTGAAGTTTTGACAGAGATAAAGCTGACACTAAGGACAGTATTGAGACCGTAGTCATCGGCCTAGTTCCGGGGCTCTTGGTATCAGAGCAGGTACATTTACTGAGCTGTTTGCTATGTTCCAGGTCCATGCAAGGCGATGTGAGTGGGAGCTTCCCAGGTGTCATCTGAAACCGTACCCCTTAGGAGGGCTGGGGCAGACTGAAAAGAGAGAGACAGGCCCCTCGAGGTGGGTAGGTGGCAGTTTTAATAAGCAGAGGGAGCTTACACATGAGGCTTATCTTGGGCGGCAGCAAGACGAATGGATCCCCATACCCGCCCTCTAAATCTTAAAAGTTCATAAAGCGGCCTTAACTGGGTTCATTCACATATACTGTGCAGGTGTTCTCAACACGACATCACTGTCTCAAGGCTGTGTCCTTGGAACAGCCTCCAGGAGCAGGAAGGCAAGCTACATTCCCACATGCTGTGGACAGGGGAGGGGGTGAGGAGCCACCGAGCGCCTGGGTCCGGCTCATGTGTCAACTGGCAGTCACTTCTTTCTGATGACTTTCCCCAACAGGTGACTGCCTCATAAGGAAAACTTTTTGCTTTCAATTACTTCAGTGACTGGATTTTTATGGTTTGGGCTGAAGGTAGACTAGTTTATTAAGAGTTTTACAGTATGCTAACTATTAAATATTACTGTGAAGTTTAAGTATATAATTCTAATAAATATATAATTTGTTCTACAAGGTGGTTATGCATTTTTAAATCAAAGCTCCAAGGTACTAAAATCGGAGGTAAAATCAACGTAAATCTAGATTTTGTAGACTATGTGACAAAAGAGGAATTAACAATGTTTATAGTTAGAGAAAAAAGCTGGCTCTGCCTTTTTAAAATGTAAGGAACAATTCTGCTGGAAAAACCACATGATGTATAAATGAATAGGCATGGCTGTGTTCCAATAAAACATTGTTTAAGAAAACAGGCGGTGGGCAGAATTTAGCCATGGACCATAGTTTGCCAACCATAATACAGAACATTTCCAGCATTCCAGAAGCTTCTCTCATGTCCCTTCCCAGTCAGAGGTTACCACTATTCTGACTTGTCTCTGTAGTTTGGTTTTACCTGCTAACACCTGTATTATGCACCTCTATGAACATTTTATTTCATGATTTAATATCAAGTCTTGCTTAATAAAAAGGATTATAGAGCCAGTCAGAAATACCTGCAGTGTCATGATTCCCAGCTGATAGCTGAGTAGGGTGGGGCTGGAGACAGACCCAGATTTTGTGTGTGGTTGGACTCAAACTTCAAACTCTCTCCTCCAAGTCTGTCCAGGTTCTTGGATGTGTTTTTTTGTTTTTTTTTTAAGATTTTATTTATTTATTAGAGAGTGCAAGTGGGCACGAGCGGGGGCTGGGCAAAGGGAGAGGGAAAAGTGGGTTCCGTTGAGCGGGCCTCAATCCCAGGACCCTGGGATCATGACCCGAGCTGAAGGCAGTTGCTTAACCGACTGAGCCATCCAGGTGCCCCTTGGATGTGTTTTTAGATTAAAATTTTTCATCAAATTTGGGGAAGTTTTCAGCCATTCTTCAAGTATTTTTTCTGTCCCTTTTCTCTCTCCTCCTGATGCTCCTATTCATTATACATATGTTGGTTCACTTAAGGCTATCTCACATTGCTCTGAGGTTAATTTTTCTTCATTTTTCCTGTTTTTCAAATTTCACAATTTCTGTTGGTCTATATTCAAGTTCACGGATTTTTTTTTTTTTTTTCTTCTCTCAACTCAAATGTATGATCCCCTTCAGTGAATTTTCCATTTTGGTGATTATACTTTTCAATTCCACAATTTCCATTTGATATTTTTATAGCACTTACCTCTTTATTGATGTTCTCTGTTTGGTGAGCATTGCTATCATACATGTTCCTCTAATTCTTTGAACATGTTTATATGTTTGGCCAGTGTTTGGTTAGAGGGTCTGCTTAAGCACTTTGAGCTAATGAGACTTCTGCTCTTTGCTGATGATGTGTGTGTGGCGTAGAGAATGCTTTCGAATCCACTCCATGTCCCACTCTCTTTGCTCCTGAGTGGGTGTGACCCAGTCCATGCCCACAGTCTCCTGGACCCTCAGTGATAAATGGGATCCCGGGAGGGCTCTTCCTAGCTGTCTCTTTCTCTGGCTCTCTGTTAAACTTCTGGCTGGTGTGCCATTTTTGCCTTTTGCTGCACGTATCACATAGCTAGCAGCCCCCTCTCAACTGCTTGCCACCAAAATCTCCATTGTTTTTGATAATCTGCCTAGGCACAGATTCCTCCATTCTTGGTACCAAATAGTCCCTTCCTGCAGAGCTGCTGAGCTACTAATTCACGGAGCTGCCACTCCCACCCACACCTTGGGTCTGGACAGCGTCTTGCTTCTCCTGGAGCAACACTTCTCTACGAGTAAGTGCTGGATAGGGAAGGCTGGTATTCTTCTTAGCAGAATGTGCCAACATCATCCTAATAAATGTCTTCACACAGTCCTATTCCTAGGAGCATGGTAGCCTCTGGTCTTCTCAGATTTCCCCTTTTAATGTGGAGCCTCCACCCTATGGGCAGGCTGCAACAGGAGTGATCAGAGCCCCAGGATTTTCAGATTGTCATGCCTGGGGCACAGCCCTAGACCAGTAGGAGCCCTTACCTTCTTAGAGTAGAGCTTCTGTCACGTGAAACTGGGGGTAGGGGTGGGGTGGATCAGTCCATGGCTCAAGTGCCATAGACTCTCACTCTTCTTATTAACATGTAGATATTCCTGAATGTTTCTCCATTTGCCGCACACCTTTAGGATAATTTTCTAAGATTTGAAGGTATTTATTTGGTAGTGTTACACACGCACACACAAACACACAATTTTCCCAGTTAAATGGTTGTCACACTGGGAAGACAATCACTGAGCTCTGCACACCACCATCCTGCAGTTCCCCCCGACCACACTTCATTCTTTGAGCCTTGGCTGGGCTGCTTGGGGTCTAGCCTCTGCATGTGTGGTTCACTTGTCAGACAGAGATGGATAGGGTCTTCATACAAAGAACTTGGGGTTCTTTTTCATGCCATTTTCCCTTTTAACTTTCCAGATGTTGTTTGTCCCAAGCTCTGGCCTCTGGTTCTTCAAGCCATTTAAGACTGCAGATTTTCTAATGGAGTTTTAGCTCCCCTTTTGGGCCTGGCCTTGGGTAAAAGCCATAAAAATGGGAAACCTACCCATTGCCATTTCCTTCTTCAAGTGTCCACTCCCCTCCCAACTATTCCTGCCTTGGATCATGCCCCAGTGTTTTCAAGTCTTAAAAATATTTTGTCCAGAAGATTACTGGAGTCCAATAGGAGCTACTTACTAGAAGTGGAACTCCCCCCTTCCATTAATTTAAGGTCAGGTGCGTCCGGTGTGTCTGTGGTTCTAATAAGGAACAGGTAAGGTGTTCCACAATGACATTTCCAAAGCTTTTACCTTTTTGTTTTGAATTTTGTTATTTTCACTTTAAAAAGCACACCTGCAAGAATGCTTTCACTAAAACATGACGTAGGAGAAGGCAAGACAACTACTGAGCCATGGAGTTCTCTGAAGGCCTGTCTCAGACATCGTCAGACACCTCTCACGTGGTCCAGCACTCAGATGAGGAAACTGCCTTCACACATGCTCAGCATGGCTGGGACCGGATTTCCACCAGATTTTTCTGTTGCACGGCCTGTTGTTTTATGGTACTGCACTGTCTTAGAAAACTAAGGACAAAAGTCACTACTGTTAGCATTCTTAAAAGGGAAATATGCAATGCCCTAGCTCATAAATTGGGCAGTGCTTTCCAATTGTATACCGTGCTTTCATGGATGGTTTTTTTTTTTTTTTTTAAAGATTTTATTTATTTATTTGACAGAGACAGAGATAGCGAGAGCAGGAACACAAGCAGCGGGAGTGGGAGAGGGAGAGCAGGCTTCCCGCCGAGGAGGGAACCCGACGTGGGACTTGATCCCAGGACCCTGGGATCATGACCTGAGCCGAAGGCAGACGCGTAACGACTGAGCCACCCAGGCGCCCCTTTCACGGATGGTTTTACAGACAAATGCCAAACTAGGAGCTCAGATCTTTATAGCTGGGAGTCTCTCTCTCTCTCCTCTCCTTTCAGAAACACTGAAGGCTTCCAAAGCATGCCCTAAATTGCTAGGGTATCAGGAATACACAGATGAGCAAGAGGTCATCTCTAGACTCGAGGTGCTTGTATCCTTTTGTGATCCTTCACTTTATGGATGAGAAAGCAGGTCAGGGTAGGATAGGGACCCGTGGCAATGGGAAAGCACCGAGCTCTGTTAAGAAAAGTGACCCCCAAACTGCTTTCACTGTTATTAGTTCATATTCTGCTGCTCTTACTCTAGAGTTTCTGTTACTGCATCCAATGCAGAGCATTAAATTCTGAGAGAAAGAGAGTTTGGGAGAGAGGAACAAAGAGAAGGGAGCCAGGAAGAGGTTGTGGTGCTGACTGAAGGCATTTCTTTGAAATGAAAGGTGTGATGGATCTCCATGAACGCTGCCCCAGCCCGTCTGAACTTGCACTTCATACAGTGATCAGTGGAACATACAATAAAGTGCTTTATACCACCATGCTCAGAATTTCAATGTTTAATCATTATTTCACGCGCTGTGTGTGGCCAAGGATTTTGTTCTGGATAACTTTATTGTAAGCTATATGATCTTGCTCTAGGTCTTACATGACAGGAAGCTACACAGTTGTAAATGCCCACTCTTCATTATCTCATGTAGTTTGGAAAACTCAAGTTCGTGACATGTTAATTGCACTTAAAAATTAAATACGCAGTGAAAGAAAGATACATGTATAAAGATGTCATTCAAAAGGATTTTTACACTTGGATTTGCCTTGCTTGATTACAAAAATTCAACACCATCTTCCTACCGAGGAAGGGTTTACAGAAGGGTTTCCTCCTTCCCTGGGACTGAGCTAGTACAAAGGATTAAAGGTTTTAAACAAATGTGACTATCACTGAGAAGCACAAGAGGAAAGTCTCAACGTGGCAGGTGGAGACCAGACACAGTACTGCCTGGTGGAGAATGAGTGTGTCTAAATCCGTGCGCATCACAAGCAGCTGTGTGGGCTTCAGATGTCTTTCCCGCAGTCAGGGCACAGGATGTCATCTCTTTCTGTGAGGAAGCCTCGCCCCACCAGTGAGAGGGAGCACTTCTTACAGTTAAAACAGTCGTTGTGCCACTGCCGTTCCTCAAAGGAGATGTACTTCGTGCCACCAAGTCCTGTTAACAGAGAAGAAAGAACACCGGGGTGGAGGGAGAAAGGCAACATTGCTGGGTAGAACCAGGCCCCCAGGACCAACGAAGGAATTCTGCTTTGAGCCATTTCAAAGCTGGATTGTGTAGTCTGGAGAGCGTGAGTTTCTAATGGCTGGGTGCTGGCGATCCACCTGTAAATCAGACACCCTGCACACCCTTGAAGAGCTCGTAAGGGTCAGCAGGGACAGCTATATAAACTGGGTCCGAAACGACATGATCAGTGCTATAATTATGGAGGGGTGATGGTGTCTATTTGTCTGTTCCACGAGAATGAAACTCCAGGAGATATGGAGCTGACTTCTCATTCCTTCACTGGCTGCCTCATGTCTGCTGCTCAAGTGTTTTGTGATTTAATCAATGAGGTGCTGAAGGGAGGGAAGAGGAAAATACTAATTTGCTCTGGAATGGCCAGGAAAGACCTCACAAACGAAATGGCCTGTGGATGTGGGGCATGGACATTCTTGCAGAACGAAGATCATGTGATAAGCTATAGAAGCATGGACTTAGGTGTGAGAGGGGGAAGGTGGGCTGCTAAGGTGGGTGGGAGCGCATGACGGTGTGTGGGCAGTAGAGAAGACCATCTCAGATTTTAAACAAGAAAAGTAGTAACTCAGTTCGGTGCTTGACTCTTGCCTGATGACTAATTCTCATCAAATGTTTAAGGTACACTGGCCTCCTATAACAATATGGTTGCTTGGTCCTGCCACTGAGCCATCAGAAATCAACTGGAACCGAATACACAGGGTTATTCAGAGTTGTGATCGGTTCTGATGAAATCTGGATCATGAATTCCAATTACAAAGAGTTCTTTCCAGAAATAATGGTTCAGTCTACCACAGTAAAAAGAAAGCAACCATACTGACCGCTCCATTTATAATGGCTTGAAGTCTCAGGCTAGCCTGAGTAGTCTGTAACGCACCAAATAGCTAGATCCTTGTGTAACGGAATTGGCTAGGCTGACGTGGGGCCTTGTCTTTCACCTGGGGGAGACCTGCGAGCTAGTCCCCCTCAGCTAGTTAGAGACTGGAGCAGTGCAAGTTCAGTGCTCCTTCCAGTGCCACCTTAGCCCTGTGGCAGGTGGGGTACGCACTGGCAGAGCTTTTCAGCCTCTTTTCCTGAATATCCCACAGCTTTAAAAGCAGAGCTACACCGAATGTCCAAGGCTACTAAAACACTGTCTTTACACATCCCGGACTCCTAAGGGCTGTGATCACATAGCTCCTGCGCTGGCCGTGACGCAGAACCAAGCCAATGATTTAGGCCCATGGGTCTCAAACTTCCCTGCAGACTTGAATCACCTGGGAAGCTTTTCAAGCTTCATCAGTCACCCTGGTCGTAGCCCCTACCAATTAAATCGTGACCCAGGCAGCAGTAATTTTTTAAGCTTCCTAGATGTTTTGAATATGTAGCCAAGTTTGAAAACCAGAGGTTTAGGCAACACTTGATTTAGGGGCAGGGACTGCAAAAAAGGTAGTTGTTTTTCTTCTCAGCACTGAGCAAACTGAAAAGCTGAGAAGAGGCTGGGATGCCCCAGCATTTCTGCCATTCCATGTTTCTCCTTTCTCTCACCTCTGATAAGTCCTGCTACATTGGAGACCTGCGGCCGGAAGAGGATGAAGAAGGATGTTAGTGGGAGGTGCTGTGTCGGGTGCCGTCCCAGGGGACCGCCTCCTTTTAGACACTCACTGTTTCCTTGAAATGCCAACCAATGGGGCAAGTCACAGAAATGAGAGCCAAAAACAGCCCAAGGAGGACAAATCCTCCCAAAGGTGAGAGGCATACACAGTCAACTATTGTTATTTGAGGTTTACAGCCAACAGCCCCAGAACTCCAGCTTGAACAGAGCTCATCTAACAGGCGCATTTACTCCGGGAGGCACCTCACAGCCTGCCTCTGCTTAGGAACACAGACAGCATATCCGTACTGCCCCTTAGGAGCCATTTTCAGCAGCAAAACTGCCAACAAAAAGCACAAAAATGCAAACAACATGGCACTAAACAGACCATGAAGAGGACCCTTGGTTATAAGATGAGAACTGAAATGAGGAGGCAGAGGGTCCCCCTGCCTCACCTCTGCTGGGAGCACACACATCAGACGACTCAAATGTTTCACCAATCTGTGAGTTGTCTGGGAATGACCATGAAAGCAACTTGAGTGTTGATTTTGGAGTTACAAATAAATGTTAATGAGTGGACGGATTTGCAGATCTGAACTCTGAGTACGGAGGACTGACTGTATTTATGTGTGAATTTTGCATCACTGCACACAGAATGCTGGGAAGTAGAACTTCAGATTCATTTACAAAATCATTTAAATTTTGCTAAAGAGAAAGTGCTAAGTAAGGATCTATTAAAAATCCAATCTAAAGTCACAATCTCATGTAATTGTTTGGGGATTTGGCTACAAGTACATTTTAGCTGCAATTTCAAAATTCCTCTGTACGTTCCAGAACATTAGTCTCTGTGTTTCAGAGAAGTAACTCTCCTCTTTTGGAGGAAAGTGTCCACTGTTTTCCTCATCTTGTGTTCTTTTTTTTAGTGCTACCATGGGAATAACAACACATTTCTGATACTTTACATTTAAAAGTGCTTTTATCTAGATTATATTGCTTTATAAAGTTTAACATTATAGACATTTACTTCCATAGACGTTACCGTGAAAACAGCATTCAAGATTGATATGTTAGGGGAAAAGACTGCATTTCTTCCCTCCGAATGATTCTAATCTGGTATATAAATGGCTGGAATCGGGTTAACAAAAATTTAAATGCTGTGCTTCTTTTCTTTATATTTTAATTTCATATGGAATTATGAGCTCTGGATTACACATGAAAGGATGATTTTGGTGACCTGGGGCTTCCTACATTGGGCGAGTTGGCTGAGGGAGGTGCACCCAGTTCTAGACCCGAGGAAAAAGCGAGTCAGGGCAAGCACACAGCGGTTGTAGAATGCGTGTGTGCTTACACTGCAGGGCTGCACGGGGACGCCATTTGGCTATAACATGGGTCCGCCATCTGCCATTGACAGGGATCAGCCAGTCACCTGAATGTGGCAGAGCTGGGAATCCTACGTCCCGCTACTTTGCCTGTGTCCTTACGGAACTCTCTTTTCCCTCCGGCCCAGTCACGGATTTGTGTGGTGATGCGTGGTGCACGTTTACAGGCCTGGAGTCTGAGCAGCCATCTGTCCTCCATACTCAGTTTCTTGGCATGTCTAATAGTTTCGTACAATGCCGGTCTGCAGCCAACCAGACTTTGGGCTCTCACTCTGCCCGTGCCTTTGGGGGATAAGAAAGAAACACCTAGAATGTTGCCCTCTGCCCTCGTGTAGCTATGGCCTTGTGGTCAGCAAGTCCCTCTAAGATGCTAAGGAGCACCTTTATTATTCTTTTTTTTAAGAGAGAGAGAGGGACTCTCAAGCTGGCTCCACACTGAGGGTGGCGCCCCACACGGGGCTGGATCTCACCACCATGAGACCCCCGAACCCAAGAGCCAAAAGCAAGAGCTGGGAACCATGGGCACGCTCACCGCTGATGGGGTTGGTGCAGCCGGCACACTTCTTGGCATACAGGTTGCAGAAGCAGCTCAGGCAGTAGGCGAACTCCTCCCGGGACGTGAAGCGCTGGCCCGACAGCGGCTTCTTGCAGGCGGTGCACACGAAGCACTCCTGGTGCCACGGCTGCTCGCGGTACGTGACGCCGCCGGTGGTGATGGGCTGCAGGAGGCAAGGGGGCCGCGGTGAGCATCCCGAGGCGCGGCGGGCTCTGAATGGCGTGAGACCCCCTCCGGCCCCCGCTGCCGTGTGTGGAAAAGGCTTGGAGAAAGGGCCTGGGCGCCTCTGGTCCTCACAGAGGGCAGCGCACCCGGCCACCAGCGGTGCCGGTTTGCAGGGCGCGGGTCCACGTCTGCGCGCACTGCTTCCCATAAACACAGCCTGGTACGGTCAGTGCGTTTTCTCTTAGGATTTCCCGACTCACGTTTTCTTTGCTCTAGCTTCCTTTATTCTAAGATGGCAGCACAGGATACAGAGAACCTACCACGTACGTGCACATCGATTATTTATGCCATCAGCGAGGCTTCTGCTCAACAGGCGGCTCTTCGTGGGTACGTTTTTGGGGAGTCAAAAGTTCCAGGTGGATTTTCAGCTGTGCAGTGGGGTTAGTACCCTCTAGCCCCCGTGTTGTTCAAGGGTCAACCGTGTAAAGGCCCTTAGATAATATAGACCTTATTTCCATTTTACAGGTGAGTAAACTGAGACCCAGAGAAATGAAGGGACTTGCCTAAGAATTCATAGCTAAAAGCAAAGCAGGTGCCGGGGTTCAGGACTCTTTCTATTGTATATTCTTTTCACTAAACTATAAAGCATTAATGATCGTCCTATAAATTTCCCCCTTGGAACAGAATGCATGCGACATATATTCGGTCGCAAGCTATCTGTGTGGATACAGAAGGCGTGTGTAGTAAGAGCTTTGCTCTGCCTGGCATACACGCCCTTGTCCTCCCTGCGTCTGGACTCCATGTCCCCCATCCCCACCCCCATCACCCGGCTAGCTCAGACCTGCTCCTGGGTGGTACTTTCTCAGAGCATCCCTCCCTGAACAGCAGCCTGGCTCCCACTCCTCAGATTGGTTCAGATCATCCCCGTATACACTCTGCTAAGGCTCTGTTCTCCTCCAAAGCACACTTATCGATAAGCACTTGAATGTTGCCATTGGAGTGCATTTCCCCCCAGACCCTAGTAGCCCTGAGGGCCTCCTTCAATGTGGCAGGGGGGAATGGATGTTTCTGGCATGAATGCTTTCATGTGTCTGATGAACACGCACAAGGGCTTCCCAGAGGATGCATTACCTTCACCCGCAAGCAAACAGAGTGATGATAAGGTAGGGAGGAACACAGTGGAAGAAAAGCAGATGACGCAAACTTTTCTTGGATCTTGAGAAGGAGCAAACCAAACAGAGTGGGAGTGAGCAGAGAAGAGGCTTCCTGATACGAACGCAGGAATGAGCGGTTCATCCAAGGAGGCAGGGATACACAGTAGATAAACAGTATAATCTTACAAGCGGGAATTGGGAGAAGTGGAATTTAAATCCTAGTTAGTACTACTCTGCCTTTTGAAGAGGTGCCGGCAGGATGGGCACTGGAGGCCCTGCTGGCCCCCACAGACCCAACAGCGGAGTCCCTAATAGGGCCCGAGCCAAACAGGGTGCGCAGTCACTCTACAACGGGTTCCTTCTCCCTCTTTAACCCAACGGCCGAGACAGGACGGCACCGGACCCAGTGGGCAAGTGCGCAACTAGCGACCTGGGCCCTGTCCACGGGGCACAACTTGCCTTCGCTTCTCACCTCCCTCCCGTGAGGTTTCCTGTTCAAAGATGGAGTGCAGTGTAACAGGACCGCTTTGGGGTATAGGTTTTCCTCCCCTTTAACGTTATGTCATAAACAGGAGCAAATATTTGGCCATGTTCTAGAAGGAGGGAGGGGCGCAGGAATTTATGTCTGGTCACGGGGCAGTCGTGTTGTGGGAGGAAGGCGTGGCGCGGGGGGTCCGTCCAGTGGATGAATGCGCACGCGCACGTGAGAATTTGGGGGTGGAGGGCCAGCCCGCAGACTCCCGTGCCCTTCAGGTAGGACAGGTGCCGTCCCTTGGGGGCAGGAGGGCTGGAGCCAAGGGCTGTGGAGGCGAACGGACTGGAACGGACAAGGGCCGCGGGGGGATGAGAGCTACCTTCTGACACTGAACACACTGCACGGCGTACTGTTTCTCATAGCAGGGCACGCAGAAGTTCTGGCTGTCTTTCGGGATGAAGCTCCTGGTGCCGATGGGCTGCCGGCAGCGGCGGCAGACGAAGCAGGTCTCGTGCCAGCTGCTGTCCTGGTACTCCATCTTGCGGGTACCTGTCACGAGAGTTGACGAGAAGCGGCAAAGGGCAGAGCCGGTGACAAGCCTGGCCTGGAGGCCCCGCGGTTCGCGGCGAGAACCTGCCCCCTGCTAGTTTTGTCACGACAGCAAGTCACGTTAGCCCTCAAAGGCTCGCCTCAGAACGGGCCCGTTTTGGAGAGGGCAGGGACTCGGGCTTTTTGGGTTCGCGGCTGTACACCCAGCTCCCAGGACAGTCTCTGTGCGTGCTCGGTATGTATTTGTCTGGCAGGGTGGTTATGAACAAGAAGTGGAAAAAGGATCTGTCTCTGTCTCTCAGTACTGCAAAACAGAAAGAGAATCCTGGCAGAGCTCAGACCAGTCCTGACGGAGTGGGAGCTCCAGAGCACCAACGGCCTGTCAACGAACACCCTTCTGTTTGGCAATGGGATGGAATTCGGTGGGGCGTCCATGAACCTAGAGCCTCAAGCCTGAGTCTGAGAGGAGCCTCCGCGGCGCTCACTTTATGTGACCCGCCGTGGAAACCAAGCTGTGATGTGTCTTAGGCCTACCATTAAAAGTGGTATCTGAGTGCTGTCATTAAAAGCTACATGTAGGGGCACCTGGGTGGCTCAGTCGGTTAAGCGTCTGCCTTCAGCTCAGGTCCTGATCCCAGGGTCCTAAAATCGAGCCGCGGGTCGGGCTCCCTGCTCAGCAGTCTGCTTCTCCCTTTCCCTTTGCGCCTCTCCCCCTCTCCCCTGCTCGTGCTCTCTCTCAAATAAATAAAATCTTTAAAAAAAACAAAAACACATGTTCCTCAAGTAGATCAAGAAGTCCTAGAGAGCGGAAATGCTGTCTGGTTCGCCCCCCACCCCCCACCACCAGGCTGGAGTCACAGTATTCAGCATCTGTTGATGTTTTCCCATACTTTTCCAAGAGAATAAAAGTATGTGTATTTACAGAAAGAGATGGTTCAAGACAGATGGATATGCAAACTCCCTTTGCATGCAGCCCAAGGTAAGTTTGCGGGGGGGGGGGGGGGGGGCGGGAAAGAAGGGTAAGGAGTGAATAAAAGGAAAGTGCTCCCAATACTTGAGCTAGCTCCAGGCCGGGCACACTGCCTGTGACCTGCTCGCGGTCTGCACTACCCCGAGTTACAATTGGGGTTTTCCTGGAGCATAGCCACCCCTGTTCCCTCACTCCAAATGTCTACGGCTGCTTTCACACTACAATGGCAGCAACGAGTCGTTGAGACAGAAACCGTGACCTTCGAGTCCCCAGATATTTGTCTGGTTCTTTCTGGAACCATGTTAGCCATCTGTGGGCTCACTGAAAGTCTGGGACTGAGGCCTGAAGGACGCAGCGGTTAGATGTCCCAGCGGGATGAGGGCAGGGGGAGTTAGGCGGTGAGCTGGAGCGCCGTCTTTGAACCAGGGTGGCGGCTGACAGCCAAATGCGGGCATCTAGAAACTCGCCTTTAGCTTAAGTCCAAAAAGATCATAGGGTCAACATGACAGGTTAAGGGCTGCATTTTGGCTGCTTGCAAGGTTGACAAAGAAATGTCCACCTCTCGAGAAATTAGGATATGTGCAGAGAATCGTCGCAAGATTATTTTATTCGCTGTCACTTTCGGGTCACTTTCGCAGCTTCCTGTGTTTCCAAGCCAGGACATTTGGGCACCACCTCCCACAGAGTATGTACAATACTCAGGGTGTGTGTCGGTGCTGGAAGCTGGGGAGGTGATGTGTGGGGGGCATTCATGGTGGGTCACATAACGATCTTCAAAGCTGTGGAGTCCAGTCGTGGGGTGATGAACCCTGATACAAGGAGAATTACACTGAGCAACGGAATTTCAGGTAAAAAGTGGAAGAATTGTGATCTAAATCTGGAATGATTTTCTTTGTCTCCAGGGGTTTATCTTCCCACATGTATTTTTGCCACTTGCTCTTTTAATCTCTGACCTTCCCCTGATAAAGCAGCTCAAAACCACAGGATCTTGTCAGTGAACACAGGGCAGCCCTGTGCTCACTAGAGACGGCAAGCAAGACTGCGTGAGTGCATTCCCGGCGTGGTGGGGAATACGGTCTTCTATCAACACCAGTCCCAGACAATTGTCTCCTCTCTAGTCGGGAACCCGGCGGCGGGCACTTGCAGCCCTGAGGGGTGGTGGGCGCACATCTGGGAGGCACCGCACATCTGGGAGGCACCGCACATCTGGGAGGCACGGCTCCCAGCAGCCTCCAGGGCCTGCAGAGGTTATCGTACAACACTACCAGCAGGGGGCAGCAGAGCACGCAGCTTCTCCAGCGCCTGGGCATACGGGGTCCTGACAAGGGGTGTCTCTTTCTGATTCAGCCAGACAAGTGAGGAAGCAGCAACAGGGGTGAAGGGTTAGTTCCCGTGAGCCTGCTCTGAGGAAGTAGTGCACCTGCAAGAAGCCTCTGCGAACAGAGGCTCAGCGTGTGGTAGCTGAGAAGCTGGGGGCCCTAGCCCTGTGGCTTGTGGCAGGCTCTGGTTTCCTGGCTACTTCCAGGGACTTTTGTCAGGTCTGGGGCCGGTGGGCGAGAGTTTGTCAGTTCACACAAGCCTCCTGTTTTGTATACCTAAGTTCACTGCCACAGCCAAGCCGATGACCCGCACCCCCATTCATCCATTCATCGTGATTTCGTGGTTGCACTTGTGTGTGTGTGTGTGGCAGTTTTAAGTTATTAGTTTTTAAAATCAGTACTTTTAAATGGAAACAGCTTGCCCCAAAATCTGTCATAGAATTTCGAGACCCATTAAAACAAAAGTTTAATGAGGAAAAAAAAAAAAAAAAATCAGACCAAAGAAAGAGCGGTAGTGCTAGGATTTAGCACTTCTTCTTTTTCTTTTCTTTTCCTTTCCATTCTTTTCTTTCCCATCCCTTCCTTCTCCATTTCCCCCCTCCCTCCCTTCTTCCCCCATCCCTCCCCCCCACCCTCCTCTCTCTCTCTCTCTGTCTTAATCTGTCTCACCAGGCTTCTTCTAGACACTCTGCCTTGGGCACTGAGCCCATGTCCTCTGCCAGAAGTGCCCTTTTGGGACTTCTGCATCGGGTGAAACCCAGCTCATCCTTCAAGCCTGCTCAAATGTGACCTCCCTGGGGTCCCTTCCCGACGCTGCCCTGGGCCCGCGCCTCCATCATGGCGGGTATGAGCCAGGCTTCCCTAGGGAGGGCTCAGTGAGGGGCGGTGACCGGTGACAAGTCCAAGCCAGAAAACAGGAAGGCTGAAACCCCAACCTGTCAGTTTCTAGGTTTTCCCTGAGAACTGCTGGTTCAGGGAAGGAGCGCCACAGTGAGGGGGAAGCCGGGACAGACACTACGGTGGGAAAATGACATTTGCAGGGCTGCTTTTGAATTTAAAGTGACTCAGACTGGCAGGGGGCGGGGTGGCCAAGGCTCTCCCAGCTGCAAGTGGCTATGCTCACACGGCTACTGCGCAGCAAAGAGGGAGGCCCCCCCCGCCTGCGCAGCCTGCTGGCCCCGCGTCCAAGGCACTTGGACTACACCAAGCTGTTGAACTGGACATGATGCCGACACTGCTGTTTTGTCGTCCTTCTAGGGAGGCTGTAGCACCCCATTCCGTGAAGTTTGTCTTGTGTGTCCCGTTACTCCACCTTCTGAATTCACCACCATCCATACCCGCCAGCTCCTGGTCCACCTTCTCTCACCTAGTTGAGAAGGCAGATAGAAGCTCTGAGACCAGAGCACTGGGCAAGGTCCTAATCCTGGCCGGGCCACTGACTGTAGCAAAGGGCCCGCCGCCGAAACTTCTGGTCTCTTCGCCGCTGAGACAAGACAGGTGAACTTTAAGGTCATTTAAGCGTAAAACTGTCAATGCTCTTAGAATTTCGTGGTGATTTGGCTGCTTCTCATTACAAGTGCCTGAGCTGGGCGGGGGGGGCGGGGTGGGGGGCGCTCTATCTACTATCTATCTACTGTTTGCACTATCCAAACAGTAAACTCGCTCAGCTGTCTGAAGGGTCCGCAGACGGGCCCGCAGGTGCCAGGTATATGTGTGACCTCCCCCTGCACCCCAGAGCTCTAGCGTGGCGGGAGCCTGTCCCCACTTGGTCCTCCAGGTCTGCTGAGGAGGGCAGGGGGATGCAGACGGGCTGGCAGGAGTTCCTGGCAAAAGGTCAGAGCACTGCTGAGGGGGAGCAAACGAGCAAGCAAGCAAAACCAAACAAAAGGCAGTGAGCAAGAAGAAAGTGGGCCCCAAGAGCCCGCTGTAGGGGAGCAGGGGTCTCTGGCAGCCTGGGACCCAGGGAAGTGTGGAAGGGGATGGAGAGAGTCGGCTATGAGGCAGAACGGAAACTCCCTTGGGCTCTTGTCATGAAAACTCAGTAAAGATTTAATTTGCTTTTAATTAATTTCATGGTTCTCACTGTGTCGGGACCACTCTGTCTCCGTGGGTGACTCTCTGTGGCACAGGACCAGGGGTCAGCCCGGCTTTCCGCGGGCTTTGGTTCTAATTTCACGGCCCCCACGCTGGGCCCTTGTCCCCCATCTGCAATGCTGACGCAACTCTGTAAGAGGCCTTGGTCTGGGGGTTTTGTTCCTTGTAATAGCGCGGAGTCAGCTATCTTCAAGATGTATTAAGCAGCGAAATGTAGCAGCAGTAAGAAGTCATCTTCCTGAAGGCCTTATTATGCCCTTGCCTTTTTAAAATGTATTCTTTCTTATCCAATACAGCTCCCTGAAATAACACTTCCCATACGTCAGTCTCTCGCTCAAAAACTCTTCAGTATCTCTTCACTGCCAAAAACAAAGCAAACCAAAAATAAAAGGAAAACTCCGGGCTACGGCAAAGCACTCTTCCACTAAAGGGTCTGGCTCTAAATGACCGTGGGAGCCCTAATTCCCGTCACACTTCAGCATGAACCCAGGAGCTTTGTGTTTGCTTCTATTTATTAAAGTACAGACCTCAACTCCTTTTTTTCCTTAATTTAATTTTTTTAAAGCTTTATTAATTTCAGAGAGAGAGCACACATGTGTGCATAGGGAGGGGAAGAGGGAGAGAGAAAGAGAAACTCCAGCAGATTTTTCGTTGAGCTTGGAGCCTGGCGCAGGGCTCAACCCCACGACCCCGAGACCATGACCTGAGCCCAAACCAAGAATCGGATGCTAAACCAACTGCACCACCCAGATGCCCCTGGTTTTATTTTTTTAGAGAGAGAGAGAGTGTGCACGTGCACGCGTGGGGGAGGGGCGGAGGGCGAGGGAGACAGAGGATCTCAAGCAGGCTCCATGCCCAGTGTGGAGCCCCACATGGGGCTCGATACACCACCCTGAGATCATGACCTGAGCCCAAATCCAGAGTCAGATGCTCAATCGACTGAGCCACTCAGGTGCCCCCACACCTCAGCTCCTTTAAAACTACACTTGAACGCTTCACATACTTGATATCCCTTTAAAAAACCTCAACCAATACACCAAACCTCAAGTCCTTAAGTGATTGTTGTTGAAACGAATTAAGCTTGTGAATATGACGAATCGTAAGATACCCTGAACATCACGACAGGTGATAAATTAAGGAAATTCCCATTTGAAATCACAAGCCTCAATCACGTGCACTTTAATTTACTCTTCAGACCACTTTTTTAAACCTTCACAGCTACTTCATCAGATTGAACACATTATTACTGTGCGTTAGATTTCTTCCTATGTCTGCCCTTAACTCTAAACCTCCCTGGGATGAAAGATGCTTCCCCGCTGCCTCCTCAGCAGCTGTTTTGAAGGTGGGCACCCTCCCGGGCGATGTGGGGCGCATCGGCCAGCTGGCCGGGGCTTCTCGGCATCTGGAAGGCGGGCCTGACTGGCGCCCCTCCTGCCACCCTGAGCCTGATTTGGGAGAAGCTCTGCCAGCACCCGCCGACGGGGGCCTCAGGGCCGTGTCTCTCCAAGGCCTCACGGCAGGCTGCGTCCCAGCCACGTGACTGGGTGCCAGGGGCCTGGCCACTGCTTCATGCTTCACTCCTGGTGATTCCTCTCCTTGCCCTCATTTCTGGATGTGCCTAGCAAGACTTTTTTGAATGCTGTATTTAAAAAGTCTATATACTTTTGTTCACTCAGTGTTTTAAAATAAGAGCTTCCTCTCTCCCACAAAAGAGAACAAGCCAACTTCGCCCAAGAAACAAGGGACACCGTCCCATCCTCCCCATACCAGCAAGTCACCCTTATTACTCGTCTTAACACTTGACCCAGCTGTGATCAAGTCTGGGTCTGTTGAGAATGAACGTCTGTCTAGACCACGGAGTCCAGGAGGACAGGGGACGGGGTGTGCTCTCCCCTCACGACTCCTTAACCCCCCGGCTCCCAGCCCAGCACCGGGCGCACAGCGGGCACAGTGCCCGTTTGTTGAAATAGCCCATCGAGCGCGGATTCAGCAAGTGGAAGGGAAGAAAAGCGCAAGCGTGCTCTGCGGCACCGCGGGGGCAGGGCACGTCCTGACCTGGCATGATGGTCTTCTTGCATTCCTGGCACTTGGATGAGTACTCGTGGGAGTAGCAGCCCGTGCACAGCAGCTGGTCCTCCTTGGCAGCGAAGGGCTTGTCCACTAGCGAGCTCTTGCACCGCGAGCAGTGGAAACAGGCCTCATGCCAGTGTCGGTCCTTGTAGGACAAGTCCTGCAGACTCAGAGCATGGGACACAGTGAGTGGGTCAGGGCGGGGGTCGCGGCTGCTGTGCCTGACCCACAGCCCAGGGGAGTCCTACACACCCCGGGGCAGACAGGGAGCAGAGCGTGGCCCAGGGCCTGTGGGCGTGCCTGGACCCTGACCTCGCTGGTGAAATGAGGAGGGCTGGGCTGCTTTCCTCCGGCTGCATTTCGGAGCGACCATTTAGATGGGGGGGTGTCGGGTGGGGGGGGGGGTGTGTCTGTGTGTGAGAAAGAGATGTTTTCCGAAAACACATGGGTTTCCCTTAGGTGTGACCTGTAAGGAAGAGGAACACAGAACATGCAACTCGTTACTGCTTCTCGTTGGCAACTGGTGAGAGAGAAACAGAGCACATGGCTCAGAGCACAGGGCATTTCAGAGAGGACAGGGACAGGGCTCTGGTTTCAGCTGGAGGGAAGGGGTCAGGAGAGACTTCTGGTGTGGACGGCCCCTGGACAGCAGGGAGGTGGGCAGAGGGGGCCGGAGAGGGACTTTTCAGGCAGAGAAAGAGCATGAGCACAGCAGAGGTGTGAGAGAGAGGGGTCCCTGGCAGAGGTGTGGTCAGGCGGGAGGGACAGCCCAGGGCCCGGCGGGGGAATCCAAGTCCCGGCTGGGGCGGGAGGGAGGAGGTTAAGATGATCCTGAAGGCAGCAGAGAGGGGACGAACTATTGAAATGGGAGAGGAAAAAATCACCCGGCCCCGCTGGTTATTTTGACAAAGGAAACAAAGTATAAACTGTTAGAATTTGAGTTAGCGACTATATAGGCAAACTCATCATAAACTGTGAAGCCCGTGTTTTTCAGGAAGAAATCATTATTTTTCTCCTTCTGGGACACCAACCATGATACTCATTGCCAGGTTGTGAGTTCAGGCACTGCACAGCCCTGCAAGGTAAGTATTATTACGGAAGCTCAGTAACATGCCCACAGTCACACCCGGGCACGCACGTAGCTGAGCCAAGCAAGGTTCAAGTTCATGTCCCTCAGATTCAGAAGCTATCTGCAGTGAGCCATTCCAGGTAAACTCCTGGTCGAGCCTGCGTTACTCTTTGCTTTCAAAAACTGTACCCTTGACGAGATCTGTACATATCCACTGAAAACATTCAGAAGTAATGCCACATTTTGTACGTAAATGAATGCAGCTCAGCACTGTCTTTGTTGAGACTTTGAATAAAGTCAAACAAGCCATTAAAGTCCTATCAGATAAGAACGGGAGTCAGCCTCATTTAAGAAGAGTTGGGAGTTTTTGATCATGATCAGTGTGATAATGGAATCAGAATAAATGCATTTAACATTTTTTTTTTGTTACGGAAAACAGTATTGGCAGTTCCTCAAAAACTTAAAAATCGGATTACCATATGATCCAGCAATGCCACATCTGGATATATGCATAAAGAATCGAAAGCAGGAATTTGTACACCTGTATCCGTAGCAGCATTATCCACTGGCACCAAAAAAAGTGGAAGCAACCCCAATGTCCATCAACGGATTGCACGGATAAGAAAAATGTGTTATGGGGCGCCTGGATGGCTCAGTCACTAAGCGTCTGCCTTCAGCTCAGGTCATGATCCCAGGGTCCTGGAATTGAGTCCCACGTCAGAGTCCCTGCTCAGCAGGAAGCCTGCTTCTCCCTCTCCCACTCCCCCTGCTTGTGTTCCCTCTCTCTCTGTCAAATAAATAAACAAAATATTAAAAAAAAGAAAGAAAGAAAAATGTGGTACGTACACACGAGGGAATATTATGCAGCCTCAAAAAGGCAAGGAAATTCTGACACGTGCTACAACGTGCAGGAGCCCTGAGGACATTACGCTCAGTGAAATGAGCCAGATGCAAAGGGACGAATACTGTATGAGTCCACTTGGACGAGGTACCTAGTAGTCCAATGCAGAGACAGGAAGTAGAGTGGTGGGAGCCAGAGGCTGGGGGAGGGCGGCGGGGAGTTAGTCTTTCCTGGGGACAGAGTTTCAAATTTTGCAAGATGAAGAGTCTGGGAGGTCGGCCGCACAGCAGTGTGAATACATGTGGTGCTACTGACCTGCACTCTTCTAAAGGGCACAGATGGTATATTTTAGCTTATGCGTATTTCAGTGCAACTAAAAAACTAGGTTTTGACTATTACACAGCAGGTGGAAAAGCCTTTGCCGATGTTAGGTGGGTGCCCTCTGTGCAGACCAGACACCCCAGCAGGACTGACCCTGTGGAAAAGCTGCAAGCGTTTTCCGTGCTCCACGACTCGCCCACCGCCTGGCTGAGAAGAGAAACCCCGGGAGGGCTTGAGGGCCGAGGGGAGGCCGTCTCAGGCCCCGCACTGCGTGTGGGCTCTGCCCAGGACATCGGCATCGACAGACAGGCTACACAGCGTGTTAGTGAGACAAAAAGGAACGGAAATACGGGTTCAAGGAAACTTGCCTTACCAGGCTGATCTTCAAAAAACTGAGGGAGAAACTTCTACGGGTGACATCGTGACAGCAAAGCCACCAGATGTCCCCACGGCCTCCACCCTGCTTAGCGAGGCCCCAGATGGGAGGAAAGAATGGCGCAGTGGTCGCTGAGCACGGACAGCCGTGGAAAAGCTCGTTTCAATGTTCCCATGGGTCGGAAGCACTGCAGACACCCATTCTTCCTCCAGTGAACCTGAGAGCACGGCAGCTACGGGTTCAGCTGATGTGCTGGCAGTCACGACCCTAGAACGTGCTCCTCCCTGCTCGGGGTATCAGCCGCGTGGCTCACTAGACCTCAGGCACCCACGTGAGCCTTCCGGACCTTCCGAAGCCCAGCGCCCAGCCTGTCACACCTCTGCGCCGCGGCCCACGCAGGGCCTGGCCTTGGAAGGCCCTTCCCCTGCTCTCCGACTGGCAGAACCCCGCCCAGCTGTAAGGCCCAGCCCGCATGCCACCTGCTCTGTGAGCTGCCCCGGCCGGAGGGGGGTCATGCCCGCCCCCAGCGAGCCCGCTGCGGCCACGCGCCTGTGTCAACAGCTTTTTCAAAATCCTGCATGGCAAGCCTTATCCAACTCATTCCGCTATCAGGTTTCCCTGTAATTCTCTTTCTTGGGCTCCCAGCTTGTGCTCTCTTTGGAAGTCGGAGTTAAGCTAATAAATTCATGTCCCCGCTTCCTCTTGGACTCACTTCTTAAGAAAGCCCACAATAGAGAGGAAGCGAGAAAAGACTTTATGGCAAGAGGACAGCAACTAAACCCTGCCGGTTCGGCTTTCTGAGGGCATGCTGAGGCTTCTGGCCAAGACGACATTCTCCTCTGCGTCTCGGCATGGGGCAGGATTTTAGGCACAGGAGCCCCCGGAGCTGAGAGGTGGGCTGGCAACTACCCACCCAAAGGCCCCGAGGCTGTTACAGCAGACCACACCTGCGTGCCTGGCCCCGAGCTTCACGTCACGCTGAATCCTTCTCCTAAAGTCTTGGTACCTAGAGGCCCTTCTCCTTTCTTGCGTGCACAGCTCCAGAGAGATGGTTAGTTTTCGTTCTTAGGACCAACTAGTCCATCTAGCTTAATTCTGTTATGTATCCAGTACACCAAGGACACACTTTCAATGCTGGAGGTACAAGGTTAAGAAGTATAGACTCACTGACGTTGAAGAACCTCAAAATGTCCTTGAAACATCGTGGTTTTAAAGTCCTCTAGAGAGAGTGAAGGAGAAGGAAAGAGAGAGGGAAAGAAAGGATAGATCTTTTACACATCCCAGAAAACATACCAAGGCTAATTCTGTGCTCATGGAAATGTCATAAATTGCAGTAAAATGTTGATAAACAATGTAAGATTAGGCCCGAACACTTCCTTTCAGATCTCATTATTTTTCCACTTCAGAAACATTCCTAATATGGGAAGCCCTTGTTGCCTGGCTCCGAACTTGCCCTGAGACTCCAGCTGAGCCAGGGGGACGAGCAGGTGGCTGGCAGGACCCTCGAGCCTTGGGCTAGCTGAAGATGGGCCCCTCCGGGCGGGGGGGGGCAGCAGGGTCGCTTGGACTGAGGCTGGTGCTGAGGCCACCCCTCCTGGGCTGGGGGAAGTTCAGACGCGGATTTCCCAAACCCACCCCTCCTCAAATCCCCGCGATTTCACTTGATAAATAGATGCTCAGAGCCCTTCACGCTCCGTACTTTGAACAGATACCCAATGCTTTGAGACTGCCAGGGTATCATGTTTTCAACTGCATGTTCCTTCAAATACTTAAGAACAAAGGTCCCGAAGAAGGATGGTGGCAGAAAAGACAACACGCGCTCTGTGGAGCCCCGTCTCAGGTGTCCCAAACGTGGTAACTCACTTAATTACCGCGACAGTTGCAGGCCATCCCGGTTCCAGCCATGGAAACACAGGCTTATAGGCGACATAAAGGTCTCCACGCCTCAGCTGACAGAAGGTGGACCCAGGCACGTGTGGCTCGAGGCCCACGTTGGCAGGGGGAGGTATCGCTGCTGAGTGGTGTGCCCCTTTGGTCTTTCAGGGCCTTAGAAGCCCTTCCTGTGTGACCCACTTGGTCAGCCTCATTCCCAGCTCTGAGGATCCTGCTTCCTTCATTTCCCTCTAGAAACAGATTTTTCTCTTACGGGAGGATGTCCAAATAAATAGACATATTTTCAGTGCTCATTACAAACTCTGCGGACAAATTACATGGAAACTCTAAAAAGACAATTCACTCACTAAGCACTTAAAAAGCACCTCCACGAATAAAAAAGTGCGGGGTGCGGGAGTTGGACTGTGAGGACGTGTCTGGTACGTGTCTGGAATAGTAGCCTTTCCCACAACGGCCCAGAGGTGGGGCGGGGGGAGGCCTGCGTCCTGCTCGAGGGCAGGACGAACAGGTGTTTCTTTTTTTTTTTTTTATTATGTTAATCCCCATACACCACATCATTAGTTCTAGATGAAGTGTTCCATGATTCATTGTTTGTGCATAACACCCAGTGCTCCATGCAGAACGTGCCCTCCTCAATATCCACCACCAGGCTAACCCATCCTCCCACCCCCCTCCCCTCTAGAACCCTCAGTTTGTTTTTCGAACAGGTGTTTCTGATCAGACCTCATGCCTACACCGGCCGTGGTCAGGAGACTTCTAGAAGTACAGCAGAGACAGCTGGATTTCACATGGAGGGGTAAGAGCCTCTGCCTCCCCTTCAGTCCCCTGGCTATTTTCAGTCCAAGGACCCCAGAGATTTTCTGATCCTTGAGAACTTTACAGACGTTCGCTGAGAAACTTACAGTTTGGTGGGTGGGCTTGTGCCAAACTGATTATCAATTCGATGTTTCCCACTTAATTACTCAGAAGCTGGAAAGTATGTTCTAGAAACACACTGAGCTAGCCATGCAGCCCAGAGTTTGTTCAAGTCCCTGATTTGTGAAGTGCACAGTACTAGCAGCTGTCTCGAGTTATGGGCCTCGCCTACATTTTCCTTAGTGTCTTGATTTTTTTGAAGCCAAGAACATAAGTAGAACCATCCGAAAATATGTCATCGGGCCAAAAATTTTTTGTTCTAGTATCCACAGAGGTCCAAGAAAAATTTCAGGAACAGGGTAATGTTAGAGGAGCATGAAAGTTTATTTGCATTACCTGTTCTCACCTATTCCACTGGTCCTAAAATGAATAATTTCTCCCCTTTGAGAGCACAACATCTCCCCAGAGTAACTAAACAGAAATGGCAAATACAACTAAGTGCATAGAAACGTTTTCAAACCTATGTGAGCTAATTATCCAAACAGGTCCTGAAGTCCCAACTATATCACATAAAAGTCTCTCAGTACCCGCAAAATGAGCCTGATTCCCACTGGTGTGCCAAGATTTTAAATCTATACACACTCACGTGTCCTTCGGAGGAGACGCTGAGCAGGGCTCCTGGTGCCTCTATTTTAAGGCAAGGGAAGGGCCACCAGATCTGCCAGCTCAAGTGGCTCTATTGAGTGCCCCACCTGCCAAGACTTGGGGCTTTACTTCCTGAAATAACAGGAATGTTTTTCCTATCATTGCTTCCTCGCCAAAGTCAATGACATAATGACTTCTGACAGCGGAGCAAACCATTCCAAATATTCAAGAGCCCCAGAGAGCCAAGGCGAACTTCAAGGAAGCATCCCTTTTCCTTCCACAATGCAGAAAGCCACATGGCATAATTCCACGTATAGTAACACGTGAATCGGGGTTGAAAAGTTCAGCATGATTAACGCCTAGCTTTGCAGCAGTCTTGTTGATTTTGGCCCCGTTTGGGGGATTCTTGTTTATCTGCTCATCAAGTGTGTGCCGAAGAGTAACTAGTTTTAAGGGTCTTTGCACTAAATCGTATTGGAGAAATGAGAAGGGACTGCTCTTTTGTTTTTACTTTAGCCACCGGTCAAGGATGACTAGCTCCAAATATCCAAAACGTGTCCTCTAAACCAGGGTTATTCTTTGTCCAAATATCTGAGCCTTTCACCTACTTAAGCCCATTCCAGGTTAAACTTTTATAAGAGATCATTTTTTTCCCCTCTGTCTCTTGGTTCTTCCTCAAACCAGACATTTTTATTGATGTTCCCACAATGCAAACTGACCTAGAGGGAGGGCAAAGCTCCCAGGGGGTGTGTGGAGGGAACGTGTTGCAGAAAGAATAGGGAAGTAGTCAGATGGAGTTTACGAGACCATTGGCTGCTATTCGGAATGCTTCGGCACAAACCACACAAAAACCCATGGTTTCTGGCTTGGGATCCACCTGCGGTAATAACCTCATCACGCTGGCACCTGTTTTATCTGCATTTCATAAAGGGGAAGATGGGCACAGAGGGGTCAAGTAATCAGCGCAAGCTCACACAGCCAGTGAGACACAGAGCCAGGACTAGAACCGGGCAGTTTGGGGTCGGAGCATTTATGCCTGGCTTCAGAAATAAAGGAACAGGGACCAAGAGCCTTCCAAGAACCCACGAGGGACAGTGACACATACATGAGACAGCGCTAGAGACCGGACAGTATCTCTCGCTTTTTAGACAAGCCAGATCAGCCACTTTTTGCTCAGGGCAGCCCCACCTCCGCACGTTCTGAAGTTTACACAGGACTGCAGCTGCTCGGGTTCTTTTAGGCAGGCCTCCCCGATTCCGTGGCCAAAAGTTACGTGGCTGCAGCCTGGTTTCAAGTGGCCCAGGCTGCAGAGCCTTTGTCTCTGCCCGGGGCCAAGGCTGCCCTCTACACAGGATGGAAGTTATTCCCCAACTGTCACCAAATACCCAGCAGCAGAAACGGACGGTGCGGCCCTCCGCTTCCGGCCTTTCCTGGGAATGACGTGACAGAGGAAAGAAAACGTCACACCCGCGCACTGGCTGGGTCACAACCGCCCGATGCAGGCACGGCCTGACCCGTCGGGCAGCAGCTACGTACTGATGGTTGTGACCACGAGGAAAGTGGCAAAGCTCCCTGCAGAGTGCAAGGGAAGAGAGCGGCAAAGAGATACCAAGATGCCCCGAATCGCCTTGAAGTCTGTTCAGCTGGGGACTCCTTTGGGGCTCCCCAAGGGACCCCAGTGCGTACCAATTCTGTGGCTCCGAGGAGGGCAGCCCCTTAAAGTCTTATCAAGTGTGTCTTAGCAACTGGTTAGCAGGTGAAGATATCAGAGGTCTTAGCAACAGGGACGGACTTCCAGGGGGACTGCTGGGTGGTCCAGGTTGGACTAAGATGTGTTGAGAAGCACGGGCCAGGGTCCTCAGCCATCAACCCCAGCCAGTCAGCACGAATGGCCTGCAGCCTCCTCTGAACCTGTTGTTGCCATCCACAGAGGGAAAGCTGGTCATCCCTTAGGCATGAGCCTTTCCCCTTGAAAAAGAAATGCTACCAATCCTGATCTTCTCCCACTGAGAAGAAGAGAGCCCCTAATATTCCAGTGAAGTCAGTGCTTTACCTGCCCATTTATCGGGGAATCCGTTCTGGGTCACTCACCCAGTATTTACTCAGGGGCACCTGCTACTCCTGAGTCAGCACAGGGCAAACACGAGTGAGACGGCGTTGCCCTCTAGAAAGCCACACCTTCACTGGGGAGGTGGTGGGGGTGGGGGTGGGGTGTTCGATCAGGACACCAATAGCCAGAACGTAAGAGGTGTGCTCAGGACACAGCGTGAATGTACTGGAAATGCACTCACCAAGTGCTACGGAATTAGGAGTGGAGGGAGGAGGCTCCGAAAGGCTTCTTGGCCGGAGGGGAGAAGCCCATCAGAGACGGAATTAAATAGGCACTAAGGGTCAGAGCTTCGGCACAAACCACACAAAAACTCATGGTTTCTGGGGAGCACTGAGGGATCCCGGAGTAGCGGGCGCGACCCGGGGGAGGCCCAGGGGTACCTTGCAGTCACAGCCGATGGGCTTCCCACACTCCTCGCAAGTGTTGGCATAGAGGGCCTCAAAGCACGCCACGCAGTAGGGGCTCTCCTCCCTCAGGATGTACTTCTTGCCAAAGAGAGATTCTTCACAATGGTGGCAGTCAAAGCGCTCAGTCATCGTGACGCCCGGCTCTTCAACAGCCTGTTGACAAGAAGAGAAAGAGCAGGTTCCTGTGAGCATCCTCGCGATGTCGTTCTGCTGTCTGTTGTCACCTTTAGCCAAGGGATGGGATCCCTTCTGGGTGAAGAACTGAAACTCACTCCCCCCTTTTTAAAGATTATTTATTTATTTATTTGAGACAGAGAGAGAGAGAGAGCAGAGTGAGTGAGAACATGAGCTGGGGGGAGAGGCAGAGGGAGAGAGAGGGAGAGAAGCAGACTCCCCAATGAGCAGGGAGCCCGATGCCGGGCTCCATCCCAGGACTCTGGGATTATGACCTGAGCCGAAGGCAGACGCTTAACGACTGAGCCACCCAGGTGCCCCTGAAACTCACCCTTTCAACAGTTGTGATTTTCAGCGATACTTACAAAAAAAAAAAAATTAGCCTCGGGGCAGTTTGTTGTTTGAACGCATTTCACTTCCTTCAAAGTCCCCACTGTTGACCCCATCACAGAAAGCTACATGGGCTCTGGATCCAGGGTGAGCCGGCATTAGAGCTCTCATCCTGGCAGGGCTGTGTGTCCGCTTCAAACACGTGATGCTGCCTTACATCGTCCCTTTCTCGCTGCCCCCAAAATAGACAGGCCGGGATAGAAACAATATGTTCATTTCTGTAAAAAGATTTTCCATGAGCTCCCCTTTATGATGCATAAATTTGAAGAGTAAGAAACCACAGCGACCAGAGGGAGGGGGTGTCGGAGTTGGTAAACCTGAGACGCCAAAAGAACATTCCCCTTGACCTTGATGTGACATTGGGAAGCACAATCTGCCCTTGCACTAGAAAAACTGCCCTATGTCCCCGGGGGCGGATCACTTCTCCGCTATGAAAAGATTATCCTTCCGCTGCTCAGGTATTCAGATAGCAGGATAAAGGGGAAGCCTGGCTCCCAAGAACAGATTATCACGCAGTGGAGAACGCAGTGACCATGGTCAATGGCCCTCTAGAAAACACCTCAAGCCTTTCAGAGAGGAAAAGGAATGCATCTCCGTGCCAGTCATCCTGCATTTTTCCAGGGTGCGCACAGAGTGTGCAGGGATGGGGGTGGGGGTGGGGAATGAGGAGGGTGTGGAGGGAGGTGGGAGGAGCTTCTTGGCCTCAAGTGCTGTCCCCATACAAGCATGCTGGAACTGCTGGAAAGAATGAGGCCGTGGGCGTACTTGGTGGGCAGATGTGCCCCCGGGGTGTTAAAAACACGGACGCAGTCTTCTTCAGGAATATGTTCTCAAGTGGCAATATTTAATTTGCTAAAAGTGAAAAGTTTTACAAAGTGTTCACTAGGGAGACTGACTATGTAACTCTGAGCCATGTTTCGCGAACTCTAATTACACTTGGTTCGATGTTCAGTGCTTTCAAACCATTTAAGAGTGAAATTCCAGGATAGCCTGTAGTGTAAATAAAATATTGCTGCCTGGTTTATGATAACAGCAAATTTGATAGTGTTTATTAATTTTGTGCTCTTGTGTATACAAGGTTCTGAAAACGGTAAGCAAAGAAAGAAATATCCTTCAAGCCTCTGTACTTGGTGATTTCTGTGTTTATAGAACAATTTTTTCCAAGAGTATTAAACATGCAGCTGGACCCATGTGGCAGGATCTAGCCTTCTAAATTGCTCTTCCTGGAGTTAAAGAAAACATTGTCTGGACATTCTTGTGATAACATTACAAGATGAGGCTCTTGTGCATTTGAATTATTCTTCTGAAACCCACTGTATAAATATCCTTTGTACTCAGGCCATCTCGGGTTGCGGCAGTTATGTTGGCAGAAGATTCAGTGTTTTCCTGTAATTCCTTAGTTACTGGTCCTTGAAAGTGGCAATTGTTTATGTCATCACAATTGAGAGCTGTCTTTCCAACATATACATTTTTCCAATAAAGGCTGCCATTTACCTGTGGGGAACCGGACACTGATTGCCTGTTCTTCTCACAAAAGTAAAAGAATAGTGATTTGAGAATTTGAAATACGAACAACAAAAGGAGACAGAGCTATAAAGTAGAATTACTTTATAAATTATAAAGTACAATTCCTGAGATTATCTACAACTACCTCGTTTTATGGATGGAGAAAGCAGGGCCCAAGAATATTAGTGAAAAAGGGCGCCTGGGTGGCTCAGTTGGTTAAGCGACTGCCTTCGGCTCAGGTCATGATCCTGGAGTCCCTGGATCGAGTCCCACGTCGGGCTCCCTGCTCGGCGGGGAGTCTGCTTCTCCCTCTGACCCTCCCCCCTCTCATGTGTTCTCTCTCATTCTCTCTCTCTCAAATAAATAAATAAAATCTTTAAAAAAAAAAAAGAATATTAGTGAAAAAAAGAAGATCCACGTGAGCATTCCCCAAAAAAGCAATCTTTTTTGCAATCTAAGTCAAAAAGTGGTTCCGTGGGGGCTCAGACAAAGTACAGATCCTGCTAGGGGAGGGATACAGACTGTACCAGTCATCTCTTCAGAGACCATTTCTATGTTCTTGAGCCAGTGAAACAGGTGAATTTTTTCATCAACGTAATGATCACGATGTTGCTCGTGTACCTGGCATCTATGTGCTTTCTACCTCCTAATTCCACGGGACTGGGGCAGAAATAATCTACGGGAATAAACTCGGAGAACAAGGAAGCCCCTGCATCGAGTCAAAGTATGATGGAGGTTCTCTGGGGACAAATGTCGTCAGCCCTGACGCCTCCTCCCTGCAGGACTAGTGCGGTGGCGGCCACCCGCCCAGAGGGGCTGAATGAGAGATTCTCCTGTCGGTGGAACTCTCTCCCATCTGGTTCCTTATCTTCTCTAAGAAGTCACTGCAATTTTAAGGATTGGGAGAGCACTTCTGTCAAACAAATGTGTTCAGGTATAAAATGAGCACCCGTCACTGAGGAGGAACACGGCCGAATAACGCCTGATCTGAGAAGGTCCTCTTCAGGATTCCCAGAGAATTACCTGAAGCACAGATCCTGAGAGTCAAAGGAAGTAGACCAAAAGCTAAAATGAAAAACGAGGGCGCCTGGGTGACTCAGATGGTTAAGCGTCTGCCTTTGGCTGACGTCATGATCTCAGGGTCCTGGAATCGAGTCCCACATCGGGCTCCCTGCTCCTTGGGAGCCTGCTCCTCCCTCTGCCTCTCTCTCTCTCTCATGAATAAATAAATAAAATCTTTAAAAAAATAAAAAAATAAAATAAAATGAAAACGAAGGGCTTCCCTTCTGTCACAAAGTATTTAACACCAAGTCTTTCTTAAGCAGATGCTACCAAATAGAATATTCTTTTTTTAAATGTGTGTATTTAAACTTATATTATCAATTTTAAGCTTCTTTTTAATGGGAAAAACATATCTATTGTCCTACATTAAAAGGTCCCCATGACTTTGCATTTTTTAACCCTACAGAACCCCTGATTATTTATTCATTCCAGAAGCATCAGAGCTGGAATTGTCAGATGGTATGCAAAGTGCTAGTGATACAAAGATGAATACGATACAGGCCCTCCCTGAAGGGACTTGTAGTCTGGGAGGAAAACCGATATCCAGTTGACCCTTGAAAAACCAACACCTGAGCCATCAAAAATCCACATACAACTTTTGGCTCCCCCAAAACCTAACTACTAATAGCCTACTGTTGACCAGAAGTCTTGCCAATAATACAAATAGTCGATGAACACATACTTGTATATTTTATGTATTATACACTGTATTCTTACAACAAAGTAAGCTAGAGAAAAGAAAATGTCATTTAGAAAATCAAAAGGAAAAGAAAATACATTTACTATAGTGTACTATGTTTACTGGGAAAGAAATCTGTGTGTAAGTGGACCCGCGTGGCTCAAACCCCTGTTGCTCAAGGGTCAACAGTGTGTCAAACAGACTATAAAGCTCCACACTCAGGGCACTGACAGAGAGTCCTATGGGAAAGCAGGGCAGGCTCCCCAGAGATGTCTCCCTGCACTGGACAAGGATAAGCCAGGTGATACTGCGGGCCGGCGGGCAGATGGCAGAGGCGTAATGAGGAGCAGAGGACGATGAGCACAGGAAGCTGAGAAGGTAGTCAAAGAAAGGAGGGCCTGTACTCTCGACCGTGAACTTGGCTCTGCCCTGTAGACAATGGGTATCATCATGAGGCCCAGCTGAGATGCCACGTGGGGGTGAGGAAGACAAAACTCAAGGACAATGACTCTTTAAACATGTTTCCAGGGTATCGGGGTCTACTTCTGAGTCATTTCTTTAAATAAAAATAGGACATCTTGGATCCGTAAGGATGCTCTTTCAACCTGCTCCAGTACTATCGCCTCCCCCGTCTGAAGCTCCGCATCCTCCTGACAGGTTAGCCCAGGGTCCTGTCCATCATGTGGGACCCAGAAGTGCTCCGAGAAGCGAGCCGCGGTGTGCAAGGAGGCACCTGAGCACGAGGCGTGGCTGCTGACTTGCTATTTCCTTGAACCGACTCCAATGACGGTGTCCTGGAGTTCTCCTCCCTGAACTCCCTGCCTGGGGCTAACTCAGTCTCTGACGTCATTCCCCCTCCGGCTCTGAGCAAGTAGGATATTTGACAAAGCTGGCTAGTAGGGGACAGGGGGTGGCTCCAGGCCCCCATAACTGCTCTGGGTGAGGTGAGCCCCGGGGCACCGAGGGCTGGGCTGCAGGCGGGGAGGCACCGGACTCTTTCTCAGGACTCTTTCTCAGGGTCGGGGTCTCCGGAGGGCCCGGCTTTGGGGCAGGTAGAAAAAGAAAGGTTCCCAGGGCCCTGGAGCAGTGACGCATAGGCTCACCTACCAACAACATTACTATTACTTTACGTCCCCAGGCTTATAAATGAGGGTTATTTTTATCTGTAGATTTAAAAACCGTGAAACAAAGTTCAAGCGGGGAGCGGGTGGGGTGGGGTGGGGAAGAGTCAGAGCTGGGCACACGGAAGAGAAGCAGAGAGAATGGGAGAGGAAAGGAGAGAGGAAGGAGAAGTAGAGGGATGGAAAGAGGCAGGAGAAAGAAAGGAGGGTAAAGAAGGTAG